GTACCTCTGCTGTGTTGCAGTGCTCCTGTGGAGCCCTCTGGTGCGGGAGCATGTCCTAGGTAGGGTGGTGCGCCCTGCACATGCAGTTCTGGAGAAAGAAGGGGAGTGGTCAGTTCTTCCTGGGGACACAGCGAATGATGCCTAGTGCCCCCTGCGAGGCGAGGACGATCATGCCCTGCACCGTCAGAGCTGATGTGGTTGCACAGAGGCCATGGTCGGGATGTCTGGCTCTCCCCGGGAGTGGGAGCTGCCCCAAGACCACACCCATGCCCCTGTGCCGTGTATAGTGCAGCCGAGGTGGGGGGGAGATGTGCACAGGTGGCTGTGTGATCCGTGGGAGGCATGGCCCACACACACAGTCCCTGGTCTCCCTTCCTGTCCCTCTCCCCCGGTAGGGACAGTGATGGCACTTACCTGGTATGGCCTCCCCTGACGATTCTGCTGACTCAGTGCTGGGACAGCTCGAGGGTCCCGCTGGCATGGCACCTTCCGTGCTGGCCCCTCTGCCATACCTGGGTCAGGGCCCTCTGGTCTTGGCTCACTGCCCCCTGGGGTGGTGCGGACCATCCCGCCCCCCCCCCAGGATGTGGTTGTGGGCGGGGAAGTGGGGGCAGGGGTCAGCCCCTACTGCGGACCTGCCCCTGGTGGCCCTGGTGAACCCCTGCCGCAGCTCTTTAATTTTCAGGTGCACCTGATCCTGGGTGTGCCTGTGACCTTTCGGACATTGGGGGCCTTCCCCAAAACCTCTATGAGGTCCATGACCTCCGCACCAGTCCAGGCAGGTGCGCACCATCTACAACCCCTGGCTGACCCCTGGGTGCTGGGGGACTTGGTGGGGGAGGTCTGGCTGGCACTGGCTCCTTGGCTCATTATGGGGCCACCGGGTCAGGGGCAGAGACTGCTGGCAGGCCTGGCTCTGGCACGTGTCAACTGGCCAGAGTCTATCCCTTTAAGGGCTCCAGGGCTGGCGGAGAGGAGAGGAGTTTTCCTGGTTTGACCCAGAGTGGCCACCAGGGGAAACTGGGAAGGGCTGGAGCCAGCTAATTTGAATGAAATATCTACACAGCACTTATTTTGAATTAGTTATTTCAAATTTGGCGTTACCCCTCGTAGAATGAGGTTTACCAAAATCAAATTAAGCACTCCGCTATTTCGAATTAAATTTGAATTAAATTCTAAATAGCAGTTTGCACGTATAGATGCTATTGAAGTTAATTTGAAATAAGGGCTGTTATTTCGAATTAACTTTGCAGTGTAGACATACCCTAAGCTATTTCAAAATAACTATTTTGAAATAAGATATTTCGAAATAACACTGTAGTGTAGACATACCCTTAAATACATAAACACAGAGGCCTCAATACTGGCTTGTGTACAACACAGTTTGGATTGAATTTAGTTTAATTTCTTTTCCAGTTCCATGCATAACTAAATAGAACTCTCATAGACTCTAAAGGAATTTTTTTCAAGCTCAAATGGTCTTATTTTTTCTTATTTGTACATTATTAATTATAAAACTGTGAATAAAGGAGAAAAACATGCCAAATTCTTAATGTAATAACAATATTTTAATAAGTGAAAACCTGCCTATTTTTTTGGGGACTAATTTTCCTGGTAAATCAAGCTACTATGCAACCGCAAAGTTTCTAAATACTTTTTTCTTTTTAAGTTTCTTTAAAGTCTTTTCATTAACTCCACATTTTCAGGATCATCTCCAAAATCATTTGTCTCCAATTTCCCACCCACCCACCTAATACAGTAGTTTAATTGTTGAGCTACCATTCTAAAGCAAATACTTGTTACTGCTTCTTCTGGTTGGTAACCGATACTTTCAGAGATGTCACTTTCGTGCAGCTCCCAGAATATCTTTTCTCACTAGCAAGAAAAACACACCATTTTCCCCCTGTTGAGTCCCCCAGACCAGTGAGAAAAGGCAGGAGCTTTGCCACTGTACTACACCTTTCCATTCTCCTCACAACAGATATGAAGAGTGAAGGAACACCTGTAAGGTCACCTCACCAGTAATTTCTGGTTGTTGCTGATAGACACAATTTAGAGCAGTTGTTCTATGTTACAGCAGGGCAAAACCAGTGCCAGGCACAGTGGGACATAATGGCTGTGACTAGACTGGCCAGTTTTTCCGGAAAATTAGCCGCTTTTCCGGAAAAACTTGCCAGCTGTCTACACTGGCTGCTTGAGTTTCCGCAAAAGCACTGACTTCCTATTGTAAGAAATCAGTGCTTTTTGCGGAAATATTATGCTGCTCCCGTTTGGGCAAAAGTCCCCTTTGCGCAAAACTTTTGCGCAAAAGGGCCAGTGTAGACAGCTGAGATTTGTTTTGCGCAAAAAAGCCCCAATCGCGAAAATGGCCATCGGGGCTTTTTTGCGCAAAAGCGCATCTAGATTGGCACAGACGCTTTTCCGCAAAAAGTGCTTTTGCGGAAAAGTGTCTGTGCCAATCTAGAGACTCTTTTCCGCAAATGCTTTTAAAAGAAAACTTTTCCGTTAAAAGCATTTGCGGAAAATCATGTCAGTCTAGACATTCCCAACCGCCTCCTTTCTCTTTTTGTCCCCATAAGGCTTCTGTGGGAAATGCAACTTGGGTGGACCTCAGAGTGGAGCTGTAGTTCCTCCTTATTTAGTCCTGTTGAGATCCTTCCACAGTGAAGCTAGGTCTACACTTCAGGCTTCTTGTGGAAGAGATCTTCCACAAAAACTTCTTGCGCAAAAGCTCGTCCACGCTGCAAAAGCGTGTCCAGACTGCTCGGACACTATCTCACAAGAAAGTTCTGATTGCCATTAACAGAACTGCTACCAGGGCACCTGTGCTTCATTCTATTTGAACGTTTGCACAAAAAAACCCTGTTTCCTGGCCACATACACCTTTTTGCGCAAGAGCTCTTATTCAAAAAGGAATTATTCCTCGTACAATTATTCCTCGTAGAAAGAGGACCTAGACCGCAAAAAGTCCTCTGTTCTGTCAATTCACTGTAAATTTACTTGTGTAAAAACATGCTTGAGGTGTGGATGCTCTGCGGGTTTTTGCACAAAAACAGGTGTTTTTGCACACAAACCCTGTAGTGTGTAGACGTAGCCTGCGATGTTGTAACAATTCTCGTTACTAAGTTGATGCTCCAAGATCTGAGTGTAAAAGATCCAAAAGAAACTTTTGGGGCAATGGTATAGGTCAGAGCTGAATAACCAGCTGTTCCAGGATTGAATTTAGGTCCCCATTCAGGACAGAGGGAGAATCAGCATTCATTTTCTGTTTTTCTTGATACCCCCTGGCTGTGTCTAGACTGGCAAGTTTTTACGCAAAAGCACATGCTTTTGCAGAAAAACTTGCCAGCTGTCTACACTGGCTGTTTGAATTTCTGCAAGAACACTGACGATCTCATGTAAGATCGTCAGTGTTCTTGCGGAAATACTGTGCTGCTCCCGTTCAGGCAAAAGCCCTCTTGCTCAAACCATTTGCGCAAGAGGGCCAGTGTAAACAGCACGGTACTGTTTTGCGCAAAAAAGCCCCGATGGCTAAAATGGCGATCAGGGCTTTTTTGCGCAAAACTGCATCTAGATTGGCCATGGACGCTTTTCTGCAAAAAGTGCTTTTGTGGAAAAGTGTCCTGCCAATCTAGACGTGCTTTTCCGAAAATGCTTTTAACGGAAAACTTTTCCGTTAAAAGCACTTCCGGAAAATCATGCCAGTGTAGACGTAGCCCCTGAGTTTTGGATTTGGGGTTTAAAACATAACTCAGCCAAAACTACTAAGTTTTGGGCCATATTTGCTTCACACTTGGGTCAAGCTTGCCCTCACCAGGGAAGCTTTGCCTGCTGTTTGTTTTTTGTTTTTTTCTTAAAGCTCTTTGTATAGACATCGATTTTCCTCTGAAGTTTCCTAACTTTCTCTGAGTGGCTCCGTCACTGTTCTAGAATGAAGCTGTAAGAGAACCAGTTCTAACTTCATTGTTACATGGTATGATCTGATGGGGACCCTGGGTAGAATCGAAGCAGTTCTGCTGGACATTAGAAAAATTACCAACTGACACTCAGTGTGTCCCCATTTCTTTTTTATTTCCCTTCACATGAAATAAAAGACCTGAAGCATTGGAACAATGAACCAACTGGCAAGGCATTTCTGGTTTACCATTTCAGCTCTATTGGTGAAACTTCCATTGCATTCCAATGAAGTTTATTCAGGTGAGCTCAGACTGCTTTTGGTCTTGTCTACACTGGATTTATCTTCCTAACATTTCCCATTGTGCCATTCATCGCTGCCGTTTCTGCACATCACTAGCCACTGCTGCTAGTGTATAACATCCGTGTTGTCTAGACCGGGGTGAGAGGTCATGGCAGTGAAAATACCAGTAACAAGTCTGTGCTATGCTGTACTCAGGGTGACGCATGGCGTGGGCAGGGGTTACATACTCCCCCTGCCAGGAGGCTTGTCCCACGCTTCAGAGATCCACCCATCTGAAATCCCTGCCCAGCCAACACTTGTTACGTCAGGCCCGTGGGTGGGTCATCAAACCTGGGATCCCTGGATCTGAAAGTATGAGTCTTGACCGCTTGCGGGCCCACTGACAGGGGTGGGGGGGATGGTAAGGGCACAATTGCCCCAGGGCCCAGTGATTCAAAGGGACCCAGGGCTCCAGCTGCCACTGCTGCAGCAGTAGAGCAGTGGTGGCTGAAGCCCTGGTGTGTTTAAATCACTGCCAGGGCGCCACGCTGTGTTCTCTGGGCAGCGCTAAGGGCTGGGGGGGGGGGTATGCTGTACTTCAGGCCGTGCTGAGAACCAGCTTCCCTCAGCCCCACCCCTTCCAGCCTCAACTCTGCCCCTTCCTGGAGCAGGGAGCCACCTCCCACCCACTTTGCCCAGGGGCCCTTGGAAGCTGTCAGCTCTGCTGACCGCCTGAGTGAAAAAACCCAGCTCTGTCTGCCAAGGCTGTCCCAGGCTCATCAGTTCTTACATGGTCTAACCACCACAAGAGGGGGCAGAACAGGCATGTTTTTACACTCTCACTATTGTTAATGTCTATGAAATTCAAGGATGGCAGCATTGGTGGAAAATGTAAGGGGGGAAACTCATTATAGGGTAACTAAGACTTAATGTTTCGCACCCAATTTACCCTTGGTGAGACACTGGGCGTAACTTTTTGCTTCGGTTCTGAAAAAAAAAATCTTCACTGCCCACAGGAATCACATTAGCATCTAAAGTTTTGATTTCCAAGGGGGCCAACGTTTTCAAACCCATTTTGCAGCTCCTGTACGAGCTTATGCTCCACTTCCAAAGACCATCCTACCTGCTCTGGGAACTGACACTGGATTGCAACAAACAGCTGTTGATTTCTTTCCAAACTACCCAGGTACTTCGCAGTGCAGCTTGAGCTGAATTCAACTTTCAAATACTTTTAGATAAACTTGTTGCCTATCTGAGTCTCTACGCAGTGGCCTAAGGTGGGAATGGGGTTGTTTTGATACCAATGCTGAAATCCCCACAGCTCATATTTGAAGGTGTTTTTGTTTCCTCATAAAATGAAAATTAACTTTCTCCAGTGCCCATAACAAGAATATCAGTGCCCTATCTCCTCCCCACTGCAGTTCCTGATGCTGGGGACATACTAGGGTTGAGCAAAAGGAGTAGTCAGTGCACACTGGCTTATGGTCTCTGTGCAGGGATACAGAATCATGGCTCCGTGACTGGTTGCTGTTGACTCTTTGGTTCACCGTGGTGATTGGGGAAGGGAGCTCCATAAGAGTCAGGCAAAGCCAGTTAAGCTCCTAATCCTCTTCTACCTGGGGCTCCCAAATCCTGACAGGGAAGCAGGCAGTGGAACAACCAGATTTACTCTCTCTTTTATTTCCCCATGATGCAATGGGGGAGCAGCTAAGCAGCTGCCTGGGGAAAAGGAGAGCAGCTGTTGAAGGCACTCCCAGCTCACACTGGGTCTTTATCTGGGGCTGGTTGGGAAACGATTGGAAGTAAGGGGTAATGTTGCCCCCATCCCTTGCTGTAGTAACTGCATGTATTGAAACTCATTAGTCAAAAAATCCCAGGTCCCGGTTCAGGGAACATATTCAGATATACGTTGGTCTCTAGGGACGAAATTTAAAACTTTAAGAGCCACAAGTGGCTTCTTGGCCACGGACTGGACAGACTTAATCTGCTTCACATTCCATTTCTTTCTAACTGAGTTTTACTGTAGACTTCGCCAGTGTCGACGGCGCCCAGCACAAAATGAGCATCCTTTGGAATTTAGAGCTGCACTCTTTGTTCAAGAGATCAATCAACTGGAATGGAGGTTAGCGCATTTTGACTTCCTTCCTCACAAAAATGATGACATTATTCTCTTCACGTTAGCAGTCAGCAGTTCTGGCTCGTGGTTTTTTGGGGGACCGGAATCCATAAGAACTGCAAGACAGCTGTCATCTGGTTGGCAGGGGAGGGTGACAGTTGTGCTAACATTAGCATCTGCTCCTGGCAGGGAGGGACGAGGCTCGCAAATTCAGCCTGCGGAGGCCCTTTTGCCCACCCTTGTAGTAGATGGAGTCCCAATCCATGAATGGAGCTCCTACTTGTTGAGATAATTCAAATAATAATAGTACACAGCTTTTTTTACTGTATTATTTATTACAATTCTTTACTGGAAAGTGATATTTTATGCAATGAGACAAAACTAAATGGGGAGGAAGCAAATATTACTAAAATGGGTATATTTTTATCTAGTCCATCTGGACTGCATGTATGTTTCATGGAATAGCCTCAAAGTTACTAAAAGGCAGAACAATAAGTATTTTTAAACGTGCATAGAGGACGTTTTAACATGTTTCTTTGGCTGTTATTGAAGGGAAAGTGCTCTGTATCAAAAATTGAAAACACACATAAATAGAATAGAAATTACTCTGACTAAAATGATGGAGAGAAAGACATCAATAGTAAGATTGAAGAAAGAAGAATATTCTTCCATTATTCATAGTCTTTAGAATTGTCTTCCTCCATTCCTCATGTCCTCTCCCATTTATCACACTATTTTTTTTCTTGCAAAGTTTAAGGAATACAATCAGTTTATCCTAGGGAAAGGAATATAACGAGAATGTATTGCAATTTTATTGCAAGTATTACAGAAGCAGGCGTTTTTCTTAAAGCTTCCGTTCCAGAACTCACCTGATTCTCTGCTCTCATTTTTTAAAGTAAGTTACTAGCCTCCATAGATGCAGAGAAAAGCATGAACCTGTGATCCCAATGAATCTCAAAGAATAAAATTCCAAAAGATACATTCTCTATATTATTTTTTTAATATCGTGATTTTTTTAAAGCTAGATTCTTGACTTTTAGATGATAAGTGTTGTTAATCATAGAATTGTACGATTGGCAGTAACCTTGATAGGCATTTAGTCCAGTCCCCTGCACTCAAGGAAAGAGTTAGTATCTAGACCATCCCAAATAGGTGGTTGTCTAACCTGTTTTTAAAACTTCTAATGACAGAGATTCCACAACCTTCCTAGGCAATTTGTTCCAGTGCTTAACCACCCTGACAATTAGGGTATGTCTACACTACAGCACTAATTCGAACTAACTTAATTCAAATTAGTTAATTTGAAATAAGCTAATTCGAATTAGTGCATCTAGACCTACAAACTAATTCGAATTAGCGTTTTGCTAATTCGAAATAGCATGTCCACATTGAGTGGACCCTGAACCGAAGTTAAGGCTGGCCAGAACCAGTGCCGGCAGGACATCAGGTTAGGACTTAGAGTGTGGAGCTGCTGCCTCAGGCTAGCCGAGGGCTGTGCTTAAAGGGACCTGACCCCCACCCCGGACAGACAGTGTTCAGGGTTCCCCGCTTGCTTGTCTACCTCGATGAGGGACAGCAAAGCAGTCCTATCATGGAGTGCCCTGAGTGCCCACACTCAGCACATCACAGCACTTGGCCATCAGCCCAGCTGCACTTGCCGCAGGCTGCCATCCGGGGAGTGTCAATCAGGGGAGCTGTCAGGATCCAGGAGGCCCTGCAGGAGAGCTTCCACCCCAACCCCGAGGAGCCCGCAGAGCCACCCCAGTCCTCCCCATCGGGGGCTCGTACCCCATTCCTCCCTCACCTCCTTCCTCTTACCCCTCCCTAGCCCCTCTTCCTGATGTAAAAAATAAAGGACACGTGTGTTCAAAAATAGAAACTCTCATTATTTAACAAAACTGGGGGGGGAAGCGATTAACCTCTGGGGAAGTGGGAGAGAGGAAGAAAGAGGGTGGGAGCTGGAAGGGGGAAGCCAGGGGAAGAAGGAGGAGGGGAAGTATAAAACTATGGTACGCCATATCTTCAGTACTGTGGTACTATACTATCTTCAGACAGATGTGGTCTCCTAACCTCAAAAAAAGATATTTTGGCCTTCGTAAGGGTTCAGAAAAGGGAAACTAAAATGATTAGGGGTTTGGAACAGGTCCCATTTGAAGAGAGGCTAAAGAGACTGGGACTTTTCCAGCTTAGAAAAGAGGAGACTGAGGGGGGATATGATAGAGGTCTATAAAATCATGAGTGGTATGGAGAGGGTGAATAAAGAAAAGTTCTTCATTAGTTTCCATAATATAAGGACTAGAGGACACCAAATGAAATGAATGGACAGCAGGTTTAAAACTAATAAGCGAAAGTTCTTCTTCACACAGCTCTTAGTCAACTTGTGGAACTCCTTGCCACCGGAGGCTGTGAAGGTTAGAACTATAACAGAGTTTAAAGAGAAGTTAGATTAATTCATGGAGGTTGGGTCCATGGAGTGCCATTAGCCGGGGGGTAGGAATGGTTTTCCCGGCCTCTGTATGTGGAAGGCTGGAGTTGGATGGCACGAGACAAATCGCTTGGTCATTGTCTTCGGTCCATCCCCTTCGGGGTACCTGGTGTTGGCTGCTGTCGGCAGACAGGCTACTGGGCTAGATGGACCTTTGGTCTGACCCAGTATGGACATTCTTATGTTCTTATATTCTAAGCTCAGAGCTCAGGGTCGGGGGTCTCCCTGGACCCACTTGA